TTTTAACTGAAGCTTCTCCACAGTCACCAAGCAGTATGTTGAGTTATATTACTGACAAAGGATCAATGAGCCACAGAGAAGTTAAATGAAAACTATAAACTCAACAAAAAATCCCTCCATCATTTCTTTTTAAACTAGAGTGGTATAAAATCTTATCAAGGCAGTAAGTGAGAATCTTATTTAAAGGGGTCTGTACATCTCTATGTCAAAATTTCCTCTTGACCGTTTGTTGAAGTATAAAACCAAAAATCATGCCCATAAACATTTCCACAGTGGTAAAAGTGAGTTTAAAATATGAACAAGGGATGGATGGATAGGCAATAGGACAGGGAACAAATCTGGAAAATACTCTAACTAAATTATGAACTTCTTATGAAAACATAAAACCCTGAAATTAAAGGCCACTCTAAATCATAATATGACAGCCAGAGTATATCATAGCTGCACTGTGACAGGACGCCATCTTTTCCATATGAATTACTGCAACATGAGAGCACTTATCTGCAGCTCGTTACTCTTGGTGGTGTCACGAAAGGTTGTGCACTCCTCTAGCATCTCACCTGATTACTTAAGACATATTAATGCGACTACAACCAGGTGATATGTTAATAGAAAACCTGAACTCCTGACCTCTGCTGTGAGGGGATCCAATGTCTATTATATTATGTAAGAAATTCTGTTAGCATAATTTCAGCAACTCCAAATCATTATAAATTAATATCCCTTAGCTGAGGAAAAGAATGTTTTCTGATAAAAAAAAGCCCATCTGAATACTACAACATGTTTAAATGTGAAAATATTTGCCTTATAATAGTTACATTTTAACCCTGGGTTTTCCTTTAAGGTTATCATTTTATCATTATTTTGGATTTGGTTGTCTTCTGACTTGCTCAAAGGAAGGATGTTTGTTTGCTAAGGCACTTAAATCTTCATCATTCAAACATAAATGTCTACTCAGCTCAAGGGATGAGCCAGTGCTGCATCCACAAAGAACAGACATCTAGCTATATAACCTATTTTATAAGATATCTTTATGGATTTTGTTATCGGCAAGCTACCATTCTGTCATAACACACCTAACTATTAAAAACTATAAAAACTATTCATTTTTGACATTTTTTGTGCATTTTCTCATTTTTAAAGCACTCTTCACAATATGCTGTGAACATCTGCAGAAGTAGGATAAAAGAACAAAATTTAAAGAAAAACTTTAAAATACTTTCAGAAACAACTGATCAAGACCATTTTATTATGTTGCATGAACGATTAGCTCCTTGGAAGCAAAATATAAACAAAATTTTGACTTTTGGTGACAACGCCTTGCAAAACTTTTCACATCACTTAAGCTTACCAAAAACTCAAAATACTATCTAACTGAGAAAGCAATGTATCTACCCTCTTTCTTCCACTTCTACTTTGTATTAGCGGATTTTTCAAAAAAGAACAAATGTTTAGCATAGGGTCTAAATCTTTGAAACACAAATAGTGAGTTGAAACATCCCAGTGTGGTTTGCAGTGCCTCCTTTTTGTGGAATGTTTGAACTGAAGAACTTGACCGGACACAGGGCAACTGGCGGTTACTGTCTGTTTATTGTGCGATTAATAATGGAGCACAAGCCCAGCTGACGACCGGCACATTTTATAAAGCTTGTCATCTCCAGGCCAACCCCTGCACACACATGTCAACATGATCTCCGAGGTGCTGGAGACAGTTCATTGTATAAGGGCATGCTGAGAGGGGAAAAAAAGCATTTACGCCGCTGCAGTGAATATTATATTGAATATCGAATTCATCATCAAAATTATTTTAATTTAAATTAAGCATGTTAGTTTAAAAATTTACATTTTATCCCAAATCTTTTTCTATTAACAAATCCTTTGGTTGGGCAGAGGTCACCCCTATAAATGAATGAATATGACACATATTCACATCGAACTGCTGTTTTACTGAAATGTTCTATACAAATAAAAAATTGATTGATAAACATATTCACTTGCTAGAAATCCAATTTTTCCTTGGAGACAGTCAAAGTTGATTTGAATATTTTTTTTTGTTTGTCTATTTGATTTATTGTTTGTTTATATAAGCATAAGGATCATGTCATGCATGAATGTATTATTTTTGTACATTTTCAGGCCCTATTGATTTTGTTCCTTTTCTCATGTTATGTTTTCGATAGCAAACTGTAACAGTAATTGTCCCATTGAGATGATCAAAATTTAGTTTGAGAAATAGTCACTCATTTTCTATCTACTTATTTATTTCTTTGATTGTTTGAGTGATTGATTGATTGACCTTTTACATTATTTTTATTTATTTCCTTGCTTTCTTATTAAATTATTCATACACAATGTGATTTATGGGACACATTGTGTTGAATGTATTTTGTTTTTTACATTATTTTTACATTATTGATCAAAGTTCTCCTGATTCAAGAACATTTATTTATTTATTTATTTATTTATTTATTTATTTATTTATTTATTTATACTAGTAAATGGGTAAAGCCAAACAGGGATACATGCTGTCGTTTTTTTTTTGTTTGTTTTTTTTTTTACCTTTTTTGTCATTACGCCTGAACGCATCATGACCAATTAATTTTAGGTATTAAGTGTAATTTTAAATGTGTAAAATTGCATGAAATTTGATTTGTAATTTCACAGGCTGATCTGCAATTGAAGGTAAATTAAGAAAAAAAAATCCAGTAAATAATTCGCTTATTGTTGCTTATATTTGAGTTTTGCATTGTAATTATGGGATAAGTAGGGAGCCAGAACATTTGGCATATGGAGTGGGAGCAGCGTGATATAGAGTGGCTGATTAAAAATCATCTGACCTTAAGCAGAAAAGCTCAACCTCGCTATACATTTTATGGATATGCTGCTTTCATATCATATTACACCGCACAAGGTGACGCCTGCATCCACAATGTCAACAGCACACTGTCAGTGCACGGACTACTGGGAGTCTGGTGCTGTCCGTGGTGCTGAAGCAAAAAAAAACCAAACAAACAAGACGAAAACAAACAAAAAAAAATTGACATGTCTGATTTTACTCTACCTTATTATGTCATCGTTGTGCCCCAAGTAAAATTTCTGCTTGTGCTCCCGGGTGTTGTACACAACTCCCACACCCGCGACGAAATAGACGATTTCCTTGGCGGCGGTGTAATACAGGTTGTTGCGGCACTGATGTCCCCGGTATCCGTACACCCACTCCAGTCTCAGGTGGCAGTTGGGAGCAGTCCTGTCAGCCATCTCTCCCTCAATATGTGTCTCTCCGATGCTGTCACGTAGGCTTTCTGATACAGTGTCATTCGCCAAAAAGGATTTATTTTTAAGCCTCCGTGTTACATTAGTTCCGTTGGATTCTAACCAGTCCAGAAGGAGCAGAAATGAGGCATTTTCTCAGGGTTGTGGAAGAATTAAAAAAGTCTGGCTGGCTCCTCGGACTAGAGATCTCTGAGAAACAATTTTCTACGTCGCTCTTGTCATTGTGAAAGTCTTCTTGCACTTCTTCTGTCGCGGGCTTTCGCTCCTCTTCGACACAGGTCAAAGCTCCTATCAAATCCTCCAAAGATGGAGCTGTACTGTATTCCAACAATCCCCGCCCACAGTACTGACGGAGCAGACGATCAACCAATCACGTCCTTTGACTCATCTGCGAGGACAGAAAGAAGGTGGGGACGTTCCCCATCACGACACAACTGATTTTCATCTATTCTGTTTGAAAAAATAAAATAAATACAGGAAATTATTCAAAGAAAATTTTCTATTAAACTTTCAATATATTTCCAAATTTGTCTGGTCCTGAAGCAACTTAAGAAATGCAACCTTTATGTCACCTACACACCACAGTTTTTTGGTAAATAGTTTTTGCCTTGTTCAAAGGTCCATTTGAACATTTCGTTTCTTTATCTTTTTTCTTTTCTTTTGGGGTGGAATGACTGTAAAACAACCAACTTCAATTAAATTTGACAGCCTGAAGTGGGTGCACAAGTATGAGTTTATTGTGGATTTTCTCCAGTACATGGAGACTAAAAGTTGAGCTTTACATACTGTCCCATTAATATATGACCAGGTGACCCTTGGGATGTAGAGAAACCTAATACTTTTGTAGCCGTCAACAGACCTTTGGCATTCTAATGGGGTGTTTGACCACTCTTCCTATCAGAAATGGTACAATTTATTATAATTTATTTTAATTTCCTGGCACAGACTTGGCTTTTAAGCATATTGGAACACAGATTGGAAGAAACCAAATAATTTAAATAACAATTTAAATGACAATGTCAGCCAAAGTTAAATTTCAGGATTATTCAGGCTTCGCTTGAAAATGCGCTTGGAATTTTTAAACTATTATTAGTGGGCGTGTAGTTATGTATGTTTGAGTACATTAAAAATAATCTGAACATCGTAGTACATAGACATTGGATAATTATTCTGGAACAAGAATGGTTCAACTGTATTCTCAAAAGCCCAAAAGATTAGCAGAACTCGGCTGAAAAAGATTAAGCAAAATAAATAAATCTATATATAAGAAAATGAAAAAAAAGGAAATTATTTTGTTTTATTATATTAAAGAATTATTATTATGTGCTTTTACTACTACTACTACTACTACTACTACTACTATTATTATTATTTATTTATTTATTTTTTTAATGCATGTCCTGGCTGAAGACAAACACTTAATCGCTTTTAGAACATCATTAGGTCAAATAAAATACAGCAAATTAAAATAAAAGATGTTCTAATTTTGTTTTAACTATTGACTGGTTAAAATTTAAGAACTTCAAAATCTTTCACGAAGCAGTTGGCAAAGTATTAAAGGAATAGACGTAGTTAGCATGTTTTTCACATCACATTGACATGTACTATAGCCTTTTACAACTTATTTATAGAAGTTTAAAGATTTTACTATAACCTACACAGGTTTTATTTTATCTCTTTGCCGGAAGTTCCGGTCTTGTGCAACCAGTAGTGAAGAACCGCCTTCCCGACTGTTGCCAAGTAACCAAAGAAGCTTCAGATTCGCCATCGCTTTTTTCCCTTTTAGCAGCTCGCCAGCAGCGTTTACAGCCTGACACAGTCATGGAGGTGACGATGGACCCTCTGTTTCTTGCATTGAGCTATTTCAGGAGGCGAAAGTTTCAACAGTGTTCAGATATTTGTAGCAAAATATTGCAAGACAGTCCCTACGACCAGGTAATGCCGTTATAGTTAGCAGAGTCTGCTAGTATGCTAACACATTTGTAAAGCTGCTGCGGAGTAATCCAGATTAGTATTCTGCGTGTACCATAACTCAGTGAAAGTCATTGTATTTGTATTTATTTAAGCCACCACAATCATTTTTTGCTATTTTCTGCTTAATTTTATGTTTCTTCTCTTCTTTCCTTTGCATGTTTTTTTATGTTTTCCTCCGTGTATCCTTTACACTCTGGTTTTATTCCTCTCTGTATTTCACTGCATGTCATATTAAGGACTCATCTTTTCTTATCTCAGAGGTAATAAAATACTGCTTTCAGCTCCAGTGTTTTCGTTTGTTTGTTTCATGTCCATAATTCATCAAAGGGCTTGATCCTAACATTCACCTTTAGCTGTATTTGAGTGCTATCTATGTTTGTGTATCACAGGCAGCATGGAGCTTAAAAACCAGAGCCCTCACAGAGATGGTGTACATTGATGAAGTTGATGTTGACCAGGAAGGAATTGCTGAGATGATGCTGGATGAGAGCTCTATCGCACAAGTTGCACGTAGGTTTCAGCTCTTCATCAGCACACCATTGTAAAGGAAAAACTGAAAAAAATATTTAATTCTGGTAACATTTTCTCAGTGAGAAATTGTATTGGTAAAACCCTCTTTTAGGACCTGGAACTTCACTGAGACTCCCTGGAACAAGTCAGGGTGGTGGTCCCACTCCAGCAGTCAGGTATGATTCCTTTATATCATAATAGAATAATATCATAATAGAATAAAAATCACCAGTAATCTTAAAAGAAACCTTTGTCTTAAATTTTTAGGCCTATGACACAATCAGGGCGTCCTATCACAGGCTTTGTGAGACCCAGCACACAGTCAGGGCGTCCAGGAACGATGGAGCAGGCAATCAAAACCCCGCGCACTGCAAGCACAGCGCGTCCTGTCACTAGTTCTTCTGGTAGATTCATTCGTTTGGGAACTGTGAGTGTTCATGTGCAAATACAGTCTATCCACAAAGAAACAGCAGGGTTTCTCCAAAAAAGATATTGAATTATTTTAAAATTAATTTTTAGTTACCAATTAACCTTTAGTTACCAATATATATAGTGTCAAATATATGTATTGAATCCTCTGGTAAAGATGTCTAAAATGCCTTAAAATAATTGAATCTTTTATTGGTACAGCATAATCTTACATTATAAAATGTAGGAAAAAATTGTTGTTTATTTTGAATTTGTTTATTCACTGGGAAAAATGTCCCACTTGGAAATATCTATTTTTAAAGGAATTACTATAATCCTGCTGTTGACTTAAAAAGAAATCCTGTATGTATAAAACAAATTAAATTCAACTATACAGTAATATTCAATAAATTAGAGAATATGTTCAGACAGATCTTGTTTGTGAGATTAAATGTACCTTTTGAAAATAACAACCTTAAGCAGATATGAAATGAATTTTTTCTTTAAGCCCACATTTCTGTTTTTTAATTGATTTTTATTGGTCTAATGGAGCATTCTAATCTTAAATATTGTATTTTCATTGGTTACTTGCAAAAAATTATTATGATTAAGCAAAAAAGAAGTGTTAAAACATCAGTCTTTTGTCTAGTTAATCTAAATGTGTTTCACTTAGGGAAGAAGTCACTGAAATAAATAAACTTTTCAAGAGTATTATTATTTATTGAATGGTAGGTTGTATTTCATTTAAAAGACACTGTTTGGACTAACAACAATTGTCAAATCAGTTATGTTATGAAATTCCTTCTCTCATTATCATTATACTCTGATTTATGGTAGACATTTTCTTATAATTTTAAGTGTCAGAACATGCAACTGCACTCAAAGATGGATTCATTTAAAGACTTTCTATACATTTGGACAGGTCTGTCAGTAAAAATGATCAACACAGTACATACGAGGCTCTCACAAAAGATTAATCAGGTTATTTCTGAATTTAATTTCCATCAGATGTTTAACACTGTATCCCCCTTTCCACTAGGCTTCAATGCTAACCAACCCAGAAGGACCTTTTATAAATTTGTCGAGAATAAACCTGTCCAAGTATTCTCAAAAGCCAAGTTTGTCCAGGGTAAGACAAAAACCTTCTTTCCAGCAATTTAGTACAATATTTTCTTTTTCCACGTTTAATGTGATCGAAATTTCTCTTTGCAGACTTTATTTGAGTACATCTTTCACCATGAAAATGATGTTAAAAATGTAAGTGTCCCTCTCACGTGTGTAATATAGCTTAAGTTTTTAATCTCTGATCATTGGCTGCTAATATATGTGGCTTAATTTTCTGTACAGGCTTTAGATTTAGCAGCTCAAGCTACTGAGCATGCACAGTTTAAAGATTGGTGGTGGAAGGTTCAACTAGGAAAATGTTACTACAGGTAAGAATGTCTCACAACCATCAAAACTGTGCAGATGTAAGCATTGGTGTTTCTTATTAAACTGTGCTGTTTAACTTTTTTTTTTTACCTTTTCAGACTTGGTTTATACAGAGAAGCCGAGAAACAGTTTCGATCGGCTCTCAACCAGCAGGACGTGGTAGATACGTATCTCTACCTCACAAAGGTAGTGACTAAACTATGACTTCTGTTCTTAGTAACTCTGAGCATGTTTAAGAAATCATTAAATGCAAAATCATGGTTGTTTTACTTCTTCAAGGTTTATCAGCGCATGGATCAACCAATAACAGCCCTCAACCTTTTCAAGGAAGGCCTGGACCACTTCCCTGGTGAGGTCACTCTTCTAACGGGAATCGCCCGCATCCATGAGGTATATATGTCGACATAAAGCCTTCTCAGTCTCCTGTCATGATTTAAATTAGATATTTTCTGTTTCTAATGGGATTTCTTTCCAGGAGATGAACAACATTACATCAGCCACAGAGTACTACAAAGAGGTCTTGAAGCAGGATAACACACACGTAGAGGCAATTGCCTGCATAGGCAGCAATCACTTCTATACCGACCAGCCTGAGATCGCCCTGCGGTTCTACAGGTCAGACAAATTTACTCTCCCGTGAAGCTGGCACCATATTTTCAAAATTTAAAGTGTAAACCTTTTGCACAGTTATGGTTGATTGAGCACGCTTGTTCTCTTCCTAGACGGCTTCTCCAGATGGGAGTATATAACTGCCAGCTGTACAACAACCTGGGCCTCTGCTGTTTCTATGCACAGCAGTACGACATGACTCTGTCCTCATTTGAGAGAGCTCTGGCACTGGTGGCCAGTGATGAAGAGCAGGCGGATGTCTGGTACAATATTGGGCATGTTGCTGTGGTGAGTCAGTAAACTATAGAATAAAAATACTACTTGCCACTTGCACAAAAAGAGCCATTTATTGATATAAAAATCATAGAAGCTAATATTACATTGTGTGTTTAAAGGGCATCGGGGACTTGACGCTGGCATATCAGTGTTTTAAACTGACCCTGGCTTTCAATAATGATCATGCTGAGGCCTACAACAACCTGGCGGTACTGGAACTGCGAAAAGGTCATATTGAGCAGGTGAGAGCAGAGATTGCTTTTTTACCTGGTAAATATAGAATTAACAACATATTATTTTACACAATTTATTGTGATGCAAAATGTCATGTAGGTGTTTGCCTTTTGAGAGAAAAAAACAGAAGCAATCAAATGTGTAGTAATGTCAAAAGATGACTACCAAACATACTGTTTTTAAGTGTTCTTATATCTACATATGGATTATTTTTGTTATTAAAGAAGAATGATCCATATTATTACATATTAGCCAAAAACCTTTTAATAAATTTGATTAATCTGTTTTTTGTTTTTGCTCAATTTTAAAGTTTTTGTCCTTTTTTTTTATATTAGCTGTTCTTGTTTTACACCAGCTGTTCATATTCTGAAAACTTGTAAACGTAAACCGCAACTTCAGTTTTGTTTTTTGTTGTTGTTTTTTTGTGAGTCACAATAAGGACCTCTTATCTTCTCTTCATCACAGAATTTTGAGTTAATTTTTAGTGCATTCTGATAAGATGTGTTTATAAAAAATATCTCTTATCCAGTCAAAAGCCTTCCTGCAGACAGCGGCGTTGCTGGCCCCTCACATGTATGAGCCAAACTTCAATCTCTCCATTCTGTGTGAAAAGGTAAAGCTCTACTGTGTAATATAGCGTTTAAACAGTTCATTTCTGTGAAGTAATTAATCACTTTCATATGTACGTACATATACAATATGGATGTCTTTTGTTTTGTGTCCAGATTGGAGACCTTCAGAGCAGTTACACTGCAGCTCAAAAGTCTGAGGACGCTTTTCCAGAGCACATCGACACTCAGCAGCTCCTCAAGCAGCTTCGGCAGCACTTTGCAGTTCTATGAGCCATCAGACATCCGACCAAAAAGTTGAGAAAGTAGTAAAAGACAGGCAGGTTAGTCAGATGGAAAACATTAGTTGTCATTTATGTTTATTCATAACAGAATGGTAACTAAAAATCCAGATTTACAGAATAAATCATGGGATGACATATTTACTCTAGTTTGATAAAGATGTACTGGGTGTTTCCCATAAATAAATTGCATCAGTTGAATCCAAATGTTGTTTTGCATAAAGTTCCACTCTGTTATATTGTAGATATGCACAGAAGCACACTTCTTTTTTTATTTCACACAAATCTTTGTAAAACTCTGGAGAATTTTAGAATGATTAACTGCTAAATTTTCATATATATATCTATATATATATAGATATATATATATATATCTATATATATATATATATATATATATATATATATATATATATATATATAGATATATATATATATAGATATATATATAGTAGCGTCAAATATTTGTTATACAAAAATCTAAAAATGTATGTATTTTCTGATAAAATTTTTTGTAGTTTGACCTTCCCTGCCATTTATAGGTAATATAAGATAAACAATAAAGAAACAGCACAAAAGAATCTCTGTAGTGATGCTCAATTGTTGCTTCTGCAAATAAAAGTAGGACTTTAAAAAGAATGATTTTGTTATCCGAAAGACCTCGGTGCCATTTCACAAATCCACTTCAGGTTATAATTGCACGGTGCATCATTCCAAGACATGAATGGGTTGCTGTTGGGGTACACTGCGGCACAGTCCTCATTGTTTAAGTTGTTTGGCTCTCCGACGTTCCAGAACCTGAAATAAATAATTGGTAACTTTGTTGAGAGGTAAATTATGCTCTGACACTGTTTGTTTCAAACTGGTTTATCAACTGTATAACTTTTACCCGTCAGTCAGTCTCGTCCCATCCACCCATTTCCAGACCCCTTCCTCTTCCACGTCTCTCAGTCCGATCCAGTAACCACTTTGCAACACTGATCTTGAAAGCTCTTGATTAATTGTTATGAGCCTAGTTATTCCAAGCTGACAAAAAATATATAAACAGATGTTCACTGATACATATGCAATGTAGTAGAAAAATATTTATCTCATTATGGATTTCTTCTGTTAAACACATTTTGATATATTGGAGGCAGATAACCCAAGTAACCCACGTTTTCAAATGATTGTTTTCTTTTATTAGGGGAAAGATTACTACCTTCAAAACCAATTTGGCCCTACGCATCTGCATTTGTTGAGATCAGTATTACTAACCACACTGACCTGATTGCTGCATAAAAACAGGACTTGAATAGAACCTGTTTGACAACACGAAGTAGACTAAAAAAATTCAAAAAGTAGCACAACATAGATAGAAATTCAAGAACAGATGGGTTATGCTGTGGCTTGACCCTACAATGTGACTAAATTAAAGCAATTCTGCAAAGAAGAGCGGGTCAAAGTTCCGCAAAGTGACGTAAAAGACTCATTGCTGGTTGCTACAAACATTTAATGGCAGCTGTTGCAGCCAAAAATAGCACAACTATTCTATTCAAATTAAAATGGCAAATACGTTTTTACAGCACTACATATTTTCTGAAATGAAATGTAAATGTTAAGAATATTAAAACTTAGACCAAATGTCCTACATGCTTTTCTCTGTTGTTCACAATGGCCAAGTCTCCTCCCTGCCTCCTGCAGGACTGCCGGGCCTCGTTCCACGACGTGCGGTAAAAAGTGTCCGAAAACGGGAAGTAATAGCAGCTTGAGCTCATGAAAGTCCATCCAGGCAAACAGTGTCTGCAGCCCTCCTCTGTTTTTAAATAAAAAGAGGGAAGGATAATATTCTATTTGCTGGTTTGCAATTATAAAACGCGTTTGTACTTATAGGGATTAAAAAGCCTCTCACTTATCATCGGTAAATGGGATTGCAACGATGCAATGTCCACCTGCAACTTTTCCACCTGCTTTTCGTAGTCTTTGACTCTGAGGGTCTGGTGTTCGAGCTCCCACTTGATGAGTTGCTGCTCGCTGATCTCCATGGCCAGCTGTTTCTTGACTTCATCCCTGCTTTGCAGTGCAGCGTCATAAGAAGCCTGAAGTTTTCTTATCTCTCCGCTGATGTCTCTCACTATGTTGTTGTCAGTTAGTTTGTTATCTGCAGCCAGTAAAAAAAGAGAAATTGCACATATTTTAGTCATTTACAGTTATCCTGATAATTAAAACAAACACCCAATTAATATTACATGTGATTATTGCTTTTGTCAGATTAACCATATATGAACCATTTTTTCAGTGGGGAATGATTTTTTTAATGATTTTTTAGAACAGAAATTGATGCAAATCTCTTAATTCATTGCACATTTTCTGTAATACACAGAATCCAAACTATACATTCTGGCTCGAGCACATTCATAGAACTAACCCTAATCCTAACCCCTAACCCTTTCTAATATTTGGCTACATGTTCTTTAGTGAATGCTGAGAAAAATGCTAACTTTTTCTTCTTTGGTAAGGACCTGGGATATTTCTGACTGGATATTTACCTCCTCTTCCTGACGTAATGGAAATATTTCCTTTAGATTACATTAATACTTGCTTGAATCCTGATTTGAAGCATGGTTGTGCATTTTCAGTAGGTTTGAGATTGTAGCTGCGCTTAAAACAATTTCAATGTGCATTTAAGATCGTAGTCCAATCTCAACATTCAGTCTAAACCTTTATTCTGGATTGAGGTTTGGACAGTCTCACAAGACAAAAAATGAACTGTCTGGCCACAATGACAAGAATGATGTTTTGAGGAATAAATGTGAGGCTTTTTTCTACTTTAAAAAAAATAATAATTTAAGTTGTTTGTTGTATAATTATTCTACTATGAAAAAGAACAGTTCAAATCTGTTTTAAAAATCTCTAATTAAATATATAGTACTTTAATCTGAACTGCATCTGATAATTATTGGTTCAAATTCTGTTTTCTGATTACTTTCACTTAACGTTACAATTCTTGTTTCAAATACTGTTTCAAATACTTGTGTGTTTAGTTTATTGCTTCCAATAAATTGTCTGGTTTTGGATGATAATGTGACATAAAAATCTGACCATAGAAGCTCGGTTTCAAATCCAATGCATTGTATTAGTTTAAAGTTACTTGGGTAAAAATAACTTACAGTACACCCCAAGGCCAATATTAACCAGTAGCAGAATCACCGCTAACGCTGCTAGGCTTGCTGTTAGCAGTTTGTAACGATTCACGATGGTAGATTCAGGTCTCATCGTCGACACAGTCACTACACAGAAAATATCAGACATCAACATGGATATTAAAGAAAATGGTGTAAAGAATAACATATAAAAACTAGATGGATAGCTTCAATATATCACCCGTTTACAAATACAAAAGCTAAATGCAAAATTAAAATAAATAATAAGTCCTTATTCTCTACAGCAAAGAAGAAATGATAACGTTTGTGTGACTGCAATGCTCTCTCATTGGATTTACATACCTTGATTCTCCTGATTTGATGGTAGATGAGGCTCATCTTCAGTGAATTCCTCCTGACTAATCAGTTTGTTATATGGACGACCTGAATTTTGCATTTCCTCCATTTTTGAATGTTGAATTGAGAGTGATCTCAGAGAAAAATCCAGCAGAGATTGTTTGTTAGGACATTGCCCTCAGAGCTCTTGTGTGTCCAAAGTTACACACAGAAAAAGTTCATTTGTTAAATATTGACAGACAACTGGGTCCCTGGGCTGGGTTTTAGCAATAGCCCTATCCCCTATTATCACTTAGTTTTTAGGAAATTGGTGTTTTGGAAGCAGCATATTAAATAAGTTTATAAAAGAAACTTGCAACCCTACATTAGGTGAGGTGTTTTAATTTGATGGACAAAATACATTATCATTGAAGTAGAGTACAGCTGAAACACTAGCATAACTGGCAGATTTGAAACAATCCTCAACCAAAAGGGCATATCTATATCTATATAAAAATTCCCTTCTCACCCTCTGCGGGTGGTCTCTTTTCATCCTCTGAGCTCGGGTCCTCTACCAGAGGCCTGGGAGCATGAGGGTTCCTCCAGTATCTTGGCTGTGCCTAGAACTGCACATTTCTGGACTGAGATGTCTGATGTTTCTGGGATCTGTTTGAGCCACTGCTCCAGTTTGGGGGTGACTGCCCCGAGGGCCCCAATGAACACAGGCACAACTGTGGTCTTCACCTTCCAGGCCTTCTCCAGTTCCTCTCTGAGGCCCTGGTATTTCTCGTTTCTCGTGCTCCTTTTTCCTGATGTTGTGGTCACTTGGTATTGCTACATCCACCACAACGGCTTTCCTCTGTTCTTTATCCACCACCACAATATCCGGTTGGTTCGCCATTACCATCTTGTCTGTCTGGATCTGGAAGTCCCACAGGATCTTAGCTCGGTCATTCTCCACCACCTTTGGGGGTGTTCCCCACTTTGCCCTCGGGGCTTCCAGTCCATATTCTGCACAGATGTTCCTGTACCCTATGCCCGCCACTTGGTTATGTCGTTCCATGTACGCTTTCCCTGCCAGCTGTCAGGAAGTGGTTGTGGGTGGTGGTGAGGAGAGAC